GAGAGATAATATTGTGATGTGGTTGAAATGTGTTAGATAGGTGGTTGGCAAATATATTGGCTTGAGATTTATTGCTATTGCTACCACGAACTAAGATATATCTTAGTTCGTGATTGCTACATTGCTTAAGGAACCTCTATATAAAATTTCAAGTCTCTAGACCCAGCGGTTTGGTCTGGGCGTTAATTCTTGGTAAAGTACACTTTCCTTTATATATATAGATATATATAAAACTGAAATCAAGGAAAAGAGGAAATCTTTGTTACGGTTTGGCTTCGAAACTTCTTATCCAATTGTCATGTAGTTTTTTTTAATGAAAGCGGATATCACGGAGCAGGTTTTAGGCATAAATAAAGTCCGATAATGTTAGTCAATAATTAGTTATCTATACATATTATAAAATCCAAATACCACTGACTCACTGATCGCTGTATCTCAAAAACTACTCAACGTACGGACTTGAAATTTGGAATAGAGGTTCTTCTCATATTTTCACCGTGCAATAAGAAAGGATTTGCCAAAATTCGCATTTTAAATAGGTGCTCAAACAAGGACATTGAGATTCACGATGGAAATTGGAAATTTTATTTTTATTTATTAATAGTTGCCATTGGTTACAGTCTACAGTAGAAATTAGCATTTATTTATTGGTTGCCATTGGTTATTCGGGCAGATCAGGTACAAGCTTGCATCAAATCGAAATATTGAACATTGCCTACCAGGGTGGCTGAGTTGCACTTACCGCAGCAAGTTACACCCAAAAGGAGTTCAACAATCATAATTTTTTTAAGAGTTGCGATTTTTTACGAGCAACCAAATTTGTTATATTAATCCACAGTATTATATCAAAATAAACTTGGTATAACTTTGATACTTTAGAGTTAAATCATACACTTCCGTACAAACAGCACGGGGTCCGCGATCTACCGCAGGTAGATTGCCTGCCTACCTGATAATGTACTGCTGCGATTCAGAATTTTTATTCCGGGCAACGGAAAAGATAAGATACATTTTGAACACCATACACCGAATATTGAATAATGAATTGAACAAAGTTTGAGTCATATTGAGTTGATACATTTAACGGGCGACGAAGTGCACGGGATCAGCTAGTATATTATATAATACTGTTATTAAAATAATTAAAATTAAAATAATCAAAATTCTTAACAATAGAAAGGTATAATAATAATTGTACACACATATAATATTATATAGATAATGAATAATTTAATGTACATAGGCACAAGTTTTTGTTCAATAAGCATTTAAAGTTCAAATGTTGACAACATTTATCGAAAGCTCAAAAATTTGCAAATTATTTTGTAGTAAAAAATTTAACACTCAGTTCAATTAGGCACGTTACATGGTCTTAGTTATAGTAAAAAATATTCATATAACATATAGGTAGTTTGAGTAAAAATGAATTCAACTAAATTGTGTTCAGTTCATTTAGGATTGAATTTTATGATTAAAGTTAGAAAACAACGCGCTTTTGGGTATACACCTTTTTTCAGTTCTATTATTAAATAATATTGATGCGCAAATGATTTATAACCTTTTAAACGATCGATGCGCAAACGATTTATAAGTTATAACCCAAAAATGAAACGATGCGCAACTGTCTTACAAAAAAGGTCAAAAATATGCGCAAACGACAACCGGCGGCTAAATCATACACTTACGTACAATTGTACAAACAGCACGGGGTCAGCGATCTACCGCTAGGTACAGCTGAGAATCAGAATTTTTATTCTGGGCACAACGGAAAAGTTAAGATAAGTTTTGAACACTATACATCGAATATTAAATAACGAACTGCACAAAGTTTGAGTCATATAGAGTTGGTCCATTTAACGAGCAACGATATGCACGTGATCGGTTTTTTTGTAATAAAAATATATTTATCATTAATACCGCTAGAAACATTTCAATACGCTTTCATTAAAAGTTTTTTTATATTTACTTGCCGATCACATTAAGCGATAAAATTTGAATAAAAAATTATACATACCATCGTCCAATGGCAAAATAAACAACCAATCACGGGCGAAGCTGTGACGGGTCGGCTAGTTGATTATATTTATAAAAAAAAAATTATATTTTACTGAAAGAAAATAATTTCTTATTAAATAATAAATAGTAAACTTAAAAAAAAAAATGGGGGGAAAATGTCCGCATCGAATATAATTGGGGGGAAAATGTCCTACTACGCCAAAAACAGTCGGGGGGAAATTGTCCGCCATTCATTTAAGAAAACCTGCTAATCTCAAATAAATCAAATGGTAAATAATAATAGGTTATATCTAATGTGAATAATGATCAATTCAATTTTTTTTTTATAATGCGATATTTTTTCCGCGTACCACCTATGATGACGTTATTGAGAAACGCCTGTTTAAAATAGGTATTCTTCTTATTTTTTTCGTCTTTGAGTATTTGAATTTACAAGAGTTGCCAAGATATTTACTTTCGTTAAAAATGTGTGTAAAATAGTCCAATGAATAACAATAATAAGTCAATAAAAAATGTATAATGTCAGTATATAATTAGAATTACAAAAAAAAGAATAAGAAACATAGTTAAATATTGTGTAGTATATATTAGTACATAAATAATGTTTTGTTATTTGTTTTTTTTTTGTGGAGTGAGGGGCTACTTACTAGGTAGAATACCTACTGAATACCTAGCATTATATGAATATGAACAAGCTCCCCTTGAGATTACCTTGCTAGTTGCTATAAGCATAATATACCAATATACCATATTAATACCTTTAAATCTTAATACCTTATAATGTACAAGTGTGGGGTTTATGAATAAATAAAAAATGCAGTTCAAATGTTTTTCCGGGCATTTATTTTCTGATTAATCTTTACTCCAAGACCATTATAATATGCGAATGAACATTTGTTACAAATGTTTTGTATAATAAATTAATAAATCCTGTGGAACAAATAAATTATGGAACAACAAACGTTCATCGGAACAAAGATATATATAAGAAGATATATAATTGAATGGATGTCAATTGAAACAAATGTCTTTCGACGAATGTAAATAGGAACAAAGGTAAAACTTGGAAATTAATATCAATGGAATAAGTTGAAAGTTGACTTGGAAAAAAAAATGTGGAACAAAATGTAGTTTCCAAAATGATGATTGATGACAACAAGCATTATTAAAGGGTTTGATATAGCTATAAAGGCGTAGACACAAATAACGTTTGAAATTTGAGGGCAAATGAAACCCTACTATAATAATATTGAAGAAGTTTAAAAAACTGTTAGGTAATATTGGGGGGGGGGCTATTGAAATGTTTTAAAGCCCCTCCTCATAGTTGCACCTATGTATATCCACAAAATATAGCCTATGCGTAAATATACGTAAATAATATATAGGTACCTATACGAAATTTCAAAATTTTAACTTTCTAAATTCTGATATTTAATTTTCTGGGAAATTATGGTCTACAGTATCACTTTATGTAATACAACGTTCTGTGATTATAAATTATAATTTCAGGCTTTAAGCTTTATGGAATTTAATTTTCTGGAAAATTATGGTCGACGTTATCACTTTCTGTATAACTACGTTCTGTAGTGATCCCTCACTAACGCTTATATTTGAGTGACCGACGTCTGTAGTTGGACCAGGTTGATCAAAAGGAATAAGGTTTTTCGAAGAGAGACAAAGGCGCAATGTTAAATGAAGTATTTATTATAATTGAGTTAAACTTGTTATAAAATAAAATAAAATAATTGTTACAAAATGTTAGAGAAGTTTGAGGACAGCACGTTAAGTAACTGCCCGAGAACTTAGTTAAATCTACTTGTAGTTACTGGGAATGCACTTAGCCTGGCGGCGATGTAGAGTGCGCGGACTCTACGACCAGGTAAGTACTATATGTAGGGATGTGAGACTAATTCTGATTCTAAGGTGTACAGAGACTCATATTTATATGGTTCTCTGTACTCCCTGTTATACATGGTAGAGACTAGGAGGTGGACAAAAAGGCGAGTCGGCAGCTTGTTGTTTATTGTAGCTGCCAAAAAGTAGCTTGCGACCAAAAAAGGTAATACAAATTTGCAATATCATTTTAACTGATTCTTCTCACGTCTTTGATTCTTGGAACTCGTAAAACGCAATAGTGTTTGTGTAGACCATCTGCCTTCCGAAATATCATATTAAAATGTGAAGGCCGTGGCTTTAATGTAATAAAGTAAAAAAAATAGTGAATCGACTCCGTCGGTTTACTACATTCCTCCCCTCGAAGCTGGAAGTCCCTGACTTCCTTAATGAAAACCATAAGGTTGTAATTTTGCATATTGGGCCTTCGGGCTATTTCTTGGTGTGAGTGGGAACTCGATTACGTCGTCGCTTCTGTGCGTTGTTGGTTTATTAAGTTCTTCGTTTTCTTCTTGAATGTGGTCTGGAGACTTGTTTTTGTATGTTTCTGTTGTTTTTGTTTTAACACAGCGTATGATTATTATCATCATCAGTATTGTAATAAAGCCTATGGCTATATATAATACATAATTAAATAATTGTTGTAAGTCTTGAAGTTGCTCGATTTTTGTGTTAATTTTATTCTGGTTGTCCAATTGTTTTTTAGAGTTGGATACTATATGTAAAGGTCTATTTACACATAACCGTTCCGTGTCCGTGCCGTCCGTTCCGTGTCCGGCGTTTTAAATTTGTTTACTTGTTATGAAATGGGCATGTTTACACGTTGTCCGTTCAGTATCCGTTCCGTGTCCGTACCGTCCGTGTCCGTAATTTTAGATTTGTCGGAGACAATGTTTTGGGGAATTTCACTGATACGGATATGAAAAATACGGAACAGTGTAAACAACCGTCAGTGCCAATTGACAGCTTGATCGGTTTGTTCTTACTTCTACTCGTAAGACGTATTTGTAAAATTTAAAAAAGTTTAAAAAAGTTTAAGAAAGTTAATAAAAAGTTGTTTTTTCAAAAACTATACACCACAATCTGAAATCATGTGTACCAATGCCGACGAAAAAATTATAGAAATGGTTCGTTCTCATATAGAATTATACGACCTTTCACACCCAAAATATATGGATACTGCTCATAAAGACAAAATTTGGAATTCTATTGGAAATGAAATAAATCTAACAGGTAAGTGGTATTTGTTAGTACTTAATTATGTATTTTTTTAGTATAGATAACATGTTTTTACTAACAACTATTAAGAATTTATAGTTAAATTATTATTTAATTTAAAAAATTAATAAATTGTAAAAATGATAAATTTAATACAAGCATATTATAGCATATTCAAGATTATATTTTAATAATTGATATAGGTACACATTTGAAATGAACAACTGCTAGTCGCTAATGACAATAGTATGTCATTTACATAAAAAACTGTAAGTTATTAAATTTTAAAAAACACAACTGTTAAAAAATAACTTATAAATTATTATTTTTGCTGAATTAATATAATAATAAGTACCTATATTAAGACGTAATACACAGTAAAATTCAATAGTAGTAAGTACCTAATAATAGATGCGTTTTTATGTTGTTAAATTTTTTCATTTTGCCACGGTACAGACCCTGCTGGAGAATTAAAAAAATCTTTATATAATTCTCGTGTTGCAAACGCTGCCCGTCCAGCTCCACCGCCTTGCATAGGTATATTATTTAGAGTAATATTTGAAACGGGTTCATTTATATTTTGAAAAACTTCATTGGTACAATTGCTGTATTTTTTTATAAAGTTGTGAAGAACGCAAGTTGCTAAAATAATATAGTCCACATTTTCTGGTTTAGACTGTATCCTCCTGTTATAAACACGAAACTTTTGTGCTAAAATCCCAAAGCAATTTTCCACTACTCTACGAGTTCTACAAAGACGATAATTGTAGATTCGTTTTAACGAATCATCTAATTGCTTTCCTGGATATGGTCGCATCAAGTACGTTTTCAGAGGAAACGCTTCGTCTCCTAATATAACGTATGGAGCAGAAATGGTGGTTCCAGGTAAAAATTCATCTTTTGGAATATTTAACGAACTATTTTCTAACGATTTTCCCAAGTTAGAGTGTGCTAATATTCCGCCATCACTGTTTTTTCCATAAGCTCCCACGTCTACGGCTATAAAATTGTACTGTGCATCAACTAATGCAAGTAACACGACAGAAAATGTTTTTTTATAGTTAAAAAAATTTGAACCAGTATTTGGAGGTGCTTGAATAGTGACGTGTTTTCCGTCCAACGCACCTATACAATTCGGAAAATTCCAATTGGTCCAAAAATCATTTGCAATTTGTTTCCATCTTTCTTCTGTGGGTTGTGGCATTACTTCTGACATTAAATTTGTTACTATACTTTTACAAGTTTCAATTACAATTCTATAAACAGTTGTATGACCTAGACGATAACTAAATGAAATTGTCTTAAAGGAATCTCCCGTAGCCAAAAATCTGAAACATCAAATATACCTATAACTTTTTAATTACATAAAAATTATAAGAAAATTATAAAATTACAATTTAATAGTTAGTGTTAGTTTATAAATGTTATGATTTAAATTCAATTGTAAATATATGAATAAATACGTAATAAAAATATTTTCTTTATGATATTATTGATGTGTAAAATATAAAATAACCTATAAGTAAGGCCCGGAATTATGTGTAAGTACTAAAAACATACAAAAATACAAAATATGTATGTATTTATACATCGGTTATCATTCAAATATGCACTTACATAATATGCAAGAAATATACAAAATAAAACTATATATTCCGGATCTATTGACTATAATTCAAGCTTGTAGCTTATTTAGCTACTCTTTGTGCTGTTAAAAAAACATGCAAATGCATATAAATCCGGGCCCTAGTAATAAACATGTAGTATTATCTATTTTGAACTTGATATTATTATAATGAAATACACTAGTTGTTTTATTATTATAGTATCAATATGTAATTATAGGAAAAATGTGCAAAACTCGTTGGAACAATATCCGAGATAATTACCGAAAATCCATAAAAAAAACAACAAGTGGGCAAGCCGCTAAAAAAGTGAAAAAATATAAATTTGATGACCAGCTACAATTCCTAAAACCACATCTACAAGAAAGGGACACTTTGGGAAACATAGAAGATGTAGTTGACAATGAAGACAACGTAGACATTTTCAATGACGACGTGGACGAAAATGAAAATGAAAACGATAATGAAAACGCTGTAGTTCAAATTGACGAGAGCATCAACGATATAGACGGTGAGCAATTGCAAAATGTTGAACAAACCCGGTCGTCTAAGCCAGTTCGAAAATCGATCCAAAAACGTTCAATAATTAAAACACCAGATTCGGCTTCAACCACGTTGATGAAATATATTATGCAAAAAAAGGAAAATAATATGTTCAATGTCACTCAAAATAATCCAGTTGATGCTTTTTTGGCAGGCCTCTCACCAACACTTAAGACATTCACACCGTATTATTTAAACTTAGTGAAAACCAAAATATTTTCAATAGTCCAAGAGTGTGAAATGAAAATGATCTTAGACGAAGAACAGAAAAAAAATCCACATACAGTGCCATATTTTACTGTACCATCGCCAACATATTATCAGCAATTAAACCCAAATATTATTCCAAATGCAGCTCAAAAAAACCAATACGTACAAGAACCAAGATACATGACATCCACATCACACTACCTGCCCTCACCACCATCTCCACAGTTTACTCAAAAAAATGCTCAAAACCATGCCTATGTTCAAGTGCCCACAAATACATTATCACCAAATACATCGTATTGTTCATCTGCGCCACCATCCCCTGCAGATTTATGCCAAAATATTTCTTTAAATGCTACCCAGAACCTTACCCATAACAATAACATTCAAGCTCAAAACAACCAATATGTACAAGAACCACGAAACATGACATCTAGATCGCACTACCTGTCCTCACCGCCATCTCCACAGTTTACTCAAAAAAATTCTCAAAACCATGCCTATGTTCAAGTGCCAACAAATACATTATCACCAAATATATCGTATTGTTCATCTGCGCCACCATCCCCTGCAGATTTAAGTCAAAATATGTCTTTAAACGCTTCTCAGAATCTTGCCCATAATATCCAAGGACCTACAGACCAGATATTTACAAATGATTTGATATTATAAATTATAATGTTAATTTTTATATATTAGTTATATACCTTCTAAATTTTTTTTTAATTTATTATGAAACTATTCAACATTCGTTAATAATATACAAGACAACATTTATTTTAAAAGCAATTCATATGTATTAATTTTACAAGAAAATATTTATTTTAAAAGGATTTAAAATTTGTTAAGCTTAATTAAATTTACAAAAATAAATTACCATATACATAGTAAAATTGTACACGTACCTTAAACAAACTGCCAGTCGTTCTCTTGGTATTATGGCCTCTCTCCAAAAAGTGTCTTGTTTTTTAATATCATTTTCAATTTTATGCAACAATACGTTGAAACTGTATTGTGGCATTCGAAAATATTCAAAAAATTTCGTTTCATGATCAACTAGTTCTTTATATAAAGTGGCAAATTCTCCTTCTGTTTTTCTTTTTTTCCATACGTCGTGAACCCAAAGTCTTTTTTGTTTTGTATTATTCTTTGTTTTTTCTTCTTCGTCTAGTAACAATGCAAGTACGGCTAGATCTTCTAGGTCATCTAAGTTCTCAGCCATATTTTCACTCAAATATTTGATTATAAAACAGTTATTAAAATAGGTACGAAAATGAATTAGATTTATAAATTGTAATTATAACAACACAAAATGAAAAGTAATATCGGTACAAACGTGTACTTCGTACAGACGTAAGTAGTATAATGAAGTAAGTTGGTATGAAAAAGCCTAATAATTTTCACTAATGTCTGATACTGAACGGACATCACGGATACGAATCGGTAAAGTGTAAATACACTTGCACTGATACTGAACGGACGGTGCGGATACGGAACGGACACGGAACGGTTATGTGTAAATAGACCTTTAGTCGTCCATATTATTGGTTTTGACATGATAATCCTCCATTAAATTGTTGGTCTCTATGCGTGTTGAGTTGTGATTACGATCTATCATTGACCGTGGGTTGAAATCCATATATTCGGATTTGTAGTCAGTTTTACCCGGTATCAGTATGTCTCTGGTGGCGTAACCTTTGCAGGTTTCGTTGAGGTGTATAATTCCTACTCCTTTGAGTGTGTGGCTAGTCGATTCCTTGTCTTCATCACAGGTAACAAATAGTACGTCATAGTTAGTCACGTATATCCATTCATTTTTGAATCTCTTTTTATGAAAGATAGTTGTACCTATTTGCACATGCATCACTTCACAACTATTTGGAACTTTGGCTGGATCTTGCAATAATAGTACTTCGCATGTGGGTCGTATATTACGAGGATGTAAAGGATTACCTTCAGGACATAATAGGAAATCTCTAGCGTGTTTACAATGAGTGTAGTAAAATTCGTCATAAGTTGCATAATGTTCTTTAGATTTACTTATAGCTATATACTTATTACTAGGTTTTATATAAGCACAATCATTGTCAATACATACTGGTACAGGTATTAAATTATATAAAATAAAGTCGTTTTGATAAATTAATGGTAAAGATATTATAAAAACTAGGTTGTCGTTAGCATAATAAATAGCAATATCTGAGAGTTTCACCAGTTCGTAAATGTTAGTAATGTCTAAGTCAGTGGGTAAATCCGTCCCCCCTGGTAAAGATACTTTAATGTCTTTGACGTGTTCTAATAGCTCTTGTGGCGTTATTAAACTTGGGTGTATAACTCCTATTTTTGCTTGCTGTATAGTTTCTAATGTCGTATTCGTTTCTAACATATGTTTTGTAATTAATAAGTTAACGTGTATAAAATGTTTTGTTAAATAATTTTTTATTTGTTGTTCTTTCGTAATGTTTGTGGTTCCGTTTGCGGATAACGTTAAAGGCAACATAGTTATATTGTTGTGTGGTTCTAAAATATGTTGTAGTTCTACTACCTTAATTTGATCTTTAATTAGTTTATATTGTGATGTGTTTTTTAGCTACTCCTATATTAAAGTTAAATTTTTGTATGCATTCTAAATTACAAATTCCGTATATCAACCTAGCGGCTTTTGTTATGAATTTAGTTAAAGTACTACGTTTAGTAATTACGTGTCCAATGGAATTTAAGACCTGTGTTTTTTTTCGGTGTAAATTTTCAACTATAGCGGTAGCTGAACTGAGTAAATTGTCACAATTAAAATTATTGGTTACTGGGTTGTGCATGTATTCAATGCACAATACTTTCGTATTTTCTATTACTAGGTTTATGTATTCGAATTCGTTATTATATTTAGTAAGATTAATATACGCAGTGAGGTCCCATTGAGATGTTACAAGTTTCAACGGTCCTCGATTTTCGTAGTAGATACCAGAATGTTGATTTAAATGTTCATCTGTGAATCGTAAGGTTCCTGACGTGAACGGTATCGTTAGAAGTAATATTCTGAAAGTTGTTATTAAATTAATAATTTCGTTTTGTTTATTTTATTTTATTGGTCAGTAGTTGTGGTTTCTTATCGAATATTTCTAAGATAAAGAAAAATATTCCCTTAAAAAAAAAACTAAACCTAATTATATAATAGTAAGATAAATCCAATAACCTCCAAATAAAAAAAAATAAAAATGTAATAAAATGTGATTAAATATATAAAAAAAAAAACCATGTCCCATAAAATAAAGAAAAATTGTTATATCTTAAAGTTACGTAAATAGAATTATTATATTTTTTTTAATTCATGAGGGCGTCGTTTATTTGGACGCAATAGCGTCGCTCCAAAAACCCAAAAAGGCACCTTGACCATAAGACATCGGTAATTACTAGGCGTCAAAAACTATAAGTCGTGTATAGTCAAATATGTCCGTTGGATCCTCTGCACTGTCTATGTAACTTTTCAAGTATAGGCACAACGGCTTATGAAGTGGTCTTTGTGCCTTAGTCATATCATGCGAGAAGTGATTTATTGTCCTAGTAATATTTAATATCTCTTCTGTTGAGTAAGGTTGTAGTAAGTTTTTGTTCGCTATGTCGATGTGTATTAACAAACAATTTGGTATTTCGTCGGGATATAAAATAGTAAAGTTATGTTGTTGACGTCCTATTACAGTACTAAGTTCTTTCAGAAAATTATGTTGTTTCATTCTAAAACAAACAACAAAAAAAAATAATAATAAGAGAAAAATAAAGGTAGAAATTAGAAAACAGTGGACGTTTGCATGAAAAGAAGTAATTAAGATTTAGCCAATTCTCAAAATAATAAAAATAAAAAAAAAAATTATTAATAACATTATCATGGGAAAATTAAAATTTAAGGAATCATTGTTCCTCGTCGTTATACCGTTTTACATTGTTTTTGTGAATGCGGTATTTGCGTCGACCTTTTTGTATAGTTATATTTTCATTGTCGTGAACCAATAGTACGTCATAAGGTCCCTGCCAATTTAAGCTTAGTGCGTTTTTCTTATTATGTTCCTTAATAAGGACCTTGTCACCTACGTGTAATTCTATTTTGTTCACGGTTTTATCGTAATATGCTTTGTTCGTTTCTTTTTCTTTAATTAGATTTTCCCTTGCTAATTTATGTGCTTCTTGCATCATACGTTTAAGATCGAATACATAATTATCGTAATTATATTGAGGTTCCGGGTCTCGATTAAAAGCTGATGGAATATTAGGTTTTGCTCCGAAAACAAGTTCGTAAGGCGTAAAGTTTGTCGATGTATGAACGGTTGTATTATAACAGAATGTGGCATAGCATAAAAGTCTATCCCAATTACTGTCCTTATCAACGAAACTGCGTAAGTATGTTTTTAATGTCTTGTGACTACGCTCTAGAAACCCATTTGTCTGTGGATGCCATGCTGTTGTTTGTACTTTTTTAATGTCTAATAGCTTACACATGTTTTTGAAAATGTCGGATAAAAAATTGGTTCCACAATCAGTTAAGATTGATTTTGGAATTCCGTAAGTGCATACGTAACATTCGACAAATGCTTGAGCTACGGTAGGTGCGTCAGTTGAGGATAGTGCTATGGCTAACGCGTAACGAGATAGCTCGTCTTGAAGTGTCAGTATGTACATGTTCCCCATTAAAGTTTGAGGCAATGGCTCTACAATATCTAGACAAATTCTTTCAAAAGGTTTTACTACTGTACTGGTTATTATCATAGGCTGTTTTGTCTTATTATGAGATTTATTCTTTTGACACAGTTCGCAATTTTTAATATATCTTTTTACGTCTTTTTTAATGTTACGCCAGTTATGGTTTAATCTAAGTCGCTTGACGGTTCGGGATACTCCTGCGTGACCCCCTAGAGGTGAATTATGATTTTCGTATATTATTTGTTGTTTCTCCTCCTCAGTATATTGTCTACCACTATATATTTTAACCGTAATATTTGTATTTTTGAAAATGTACCTAAACATCGTTCTGATTCCTACGTAACTGGTTAAAGAGGAGTGTCCGTCTAATTTAATTGTTGAAAAGGCGTTTATGTTGTTATTTATACAATAGGTCTTAATGTCCTTTATTGCTTGAAATACGCCCTCTGGTTCGAGAGGCGTGTTATGCGATTTTAACATATTATAAAAAATGGTGACCGGTGGTGAATCCGAGACTACACAAAACCGGTTTTCATCCGTGAATTGAATATTATTTATGTCCCTATTTTTAATGACATTTCTTATTTCGGGACTGGTTATTTTTTTATCTCCTGGTATAGGAATAATTATGTTTTCGCTCTCAATGACCTGATCAAGGTGATCGTCTATTTCTATAATTTTTGAATTAAAAATCGGTTTATTCTCCGCGGCTTGAAATTCTACGAAACTATCGTCTTTGATTGCATTACCGGTTTTTACTACTCGTATACGTGATAAACAGTCCGCGTTTGAGTGTTCCGGTCCTGCCCTATACTTAATATCATAGTCGTAGTCTGCCAACTGCAATCGCCAGCGCATTAGCTGGGACGATGCGTCTTTAATACCAAACAGGTATGTTAGAGGTCGGTGATCAGTTATTATAGTAAAATGTCGACCATAGAGATATGGTCTAAAATATTTCACGGCCCATACGATGGCTAACAATTCTTTTTGAATAACGCTATAATTATTCTCAGCTTTATTTAGTGTTCTACTCGCGTAAGCTATAGGTTGGTCCTTAGGTACGTCCCCTTGAGAAAGTACGGCTCCTATGGCATATTGCGATGCGTCAGTACACAAGTTGAACTTTCCTGCTTCCCAGTCTGGGTAGACTAGTAATGGCGGGTTCATTAAAGCTTTTTTAAGTTCTTGAAAACTATGTTCGCAATTGTCAGACCATATAAATGGTACGTCTTTTTTGAGTAAGTAGGTTAGTGGTTTTGCTGTTTTCGCAAAGTTATCGACAAAACGTCTGTAGTAGTTTAGTAATCCTAAAAATGATTTTATATCTTTCGCGTTTTTAGGTTTTGGATACTCTTTAATACATTTTAATTTATTTGGATCGGGTGACACCCCGTTCTCGTTAATTACATGCCCCAAATAGATAACTTCTTTCCGTAAGAAAGAACACTTTTGTGGTTGTAATTTTAATTTTGGATGCGTAATCGATTGAAAACCTGTTCGAGTTTCTGTTGGTGGTCATTTAAACTA